AAATGTCCTGTTTTTAATTGCATAATTATTCTATTTTAAACAACTGAATTGTTTAATCTGTATGAAAAATGATAATGTTTTTTTTTTTATTTTATATATAAAATTATTAAGATACTACAATAATGAATGCAAAATTGAATGAGTTTAAATTGTAAAATTATAAAATGCGAGAAAAAAAAATTTGAAAATAGTTTTGTACCTACGAGGGCAGTTTTTGTTTCAACCTCCAATGGTCCATACAACAAAGACAAGTGTAAATAACAAAATGAATTTATTACCAAAAGTTAGGTACGAACATGGTTACTTTTCAACATAATCACCATAAAGATTGAGGCATTTGTCATATCTGTGGATGAGCTTTGCAATCCCCTCTTCATAGAATGTTGCTGCCAGTGACGTGAGATGGCCTTAACATTATTTTGAAGATCATCAATAGTCTCAAACCTCTGCCTTCCCAACCACTTTTTCAGTTCAGGGAAGATGTGGAAGTCACTTGGCGCTAAATCGGGCTGTACATCAGATGCTCAAAAAGTTCCCATTGAACTTGCTGAAGAAGCTGTTAGATTACAGCAGCACTGTGAGGTTGGGCATTGTCATGAATCAGAATAACTCCAGAAGTCAACATGCCTCCTCTTTTGTTCTGAATGACTCTCCAAAGTCATTGTAAAGTCTTGAATAAACAGTTGCATTAATCATAGTCCCTGGTTCCATAAACTCAACAAGCAACACAGTAACCCTAACCTTCCTGTTGTTAAAGGTTTGTTTGAACTTTTTCGGTTTGTTTGGCAAGTTCGAGTGCATCCATTGTTGTGACTTTTGTTTTGTTTCAGGAGTGACATACTGAATCCAAGTCTCATCTCCAGTTACAATTGATATCAAAAAATCATCACCTTCAGCCTCATAATGGGTGAGGAACATCAGTGATGTTGCCATTCGGCAACTTTTGTGGTCATCAGACATAATTTTTGGAACCCATCAAGCACACAGTATTTTGTAGTGTAGGTGATCTGTTATGATCTGTAAACAGATAATCTTGAAACTTCAGGAAATTCCACACACAACTCACTTATGGTAAACCTTTTTTCTGAACCACTTGGTCAACTTGTTGAACAATGTCTTCTGTTGCAACAGACTTACACCCTTGTCCCCCCTTCATCACAAACAGTGGTTTGCCTTCTTTAAATTTTCTACACCATTCATGCACAACACCATCACTCATAAAGTTTTTACCATATATACCCCAGCTCATTTCTGCTTGAATAAATCAAATTACACTATGCAACTTGCACTTAGCGGGAGAGTCAATTGTAGCAGCCATGTTTACATGCCTGCAATTAAGCTCACAATGGCAAAATGACGTTGGAAGTGGCAGTGGCTATAGTGGAGGAAATGCACAATCACCCTCTGTGCATGCCAGCCTCTCTTCACTGGCTGTTTACTTGCACTATTGGAGGTTGAAACAAAAGCTGCCTACATAAATTTGAATGAAGAAATTTAATACAGTTTGATGGAGATGATTTGTTAAAAAAAAATTTATGTAATTGGAATTAAATATAATATTGTACCCAAATAAAATATAATCATAAAGAAGTAAAAAAATTTAAACTTTTATTGTAGCCTTTAGTTCTGTAGAACTTTGTATAGCTATCCCATTTTAAACTAATTTTGTAATATTTTGCTTATTTAAAAAAATTAATTCATAATTGATCTATGCTATTTTTATAACTTTGCTTTTAATATTTAAAAATCTTCCATTATTATATAATTTATATAAAATTTAAAATTTAGTAGATTGAAATTCAGTTGACATAATGAATATTAATATTATGTTTGCATTTTTGAATAAATAATTAATATGATATTATATAAACCACATTAACAATGCAATTATTTATTCCACAAATTGTAAATAAAAATGCACCAGTCATAAATATATACATTCAAATTTTGATATAGTTAGACTTCATAACATGTCAATGAATATTTGTAAATGGATCTTCCTCAAATATTATAAAGAAAACCCTTCAGTATCTATATATTACTAAATGTATAATATTGTGTTGCAAATGACAATATCACCAGATTATTCTCAGACAAAATTTTGTATGTTTTCTCAATTATTTGTATTTACTTCATTAATTCTTACTGTTTAAACTATTTTAGTTTAATACCACACACAATTGAGTATCAATTTCAGATGTGAACAAAGGATAGCACTAAATCAAAGTTTGACTACATAAAAACAAAATTAGTATTTTGATATTTGTTTATTTCTTAATCATTTACTTGTTTAAATAAATTTAAAAAATTATTTTGTAGAATAATTTTCAAAGAACTCATTCAACTTTAAAAGTAATAAAATCATAATAATGCATATAGATCAATAACTAACATTTATTTTTTATGAAAATTGATTTTGCAAATGATTTAGGTTTTATTAATTATATAAATTGAAAAATGAATATCAGTTATAATTACCTTACATATTAAGTAAATATACATTCAAAAACCTTTTGATGATTAAAAAAATATTATCATAAAAAAAAACTTTTCAATTTAATCATTACAACTAAATAATTTAGAAAATTATTTTAAAAGATTCTATAAATAAATGAACCATTTCAATAATTAATTTTATATTTTTAATTTTTATTTAAAAGTGTTTAATCTTCCAAGAACAATTTACCTAAAGAAAATTAGTTTCTTTTTAAAATAAATTATTCTGTTTTAAACAACTTAAATATTTTTATTTATATCAATATTTTGAAGAAAAACTTAATTAAAAGATAACATTCAATTTAACCTAACATTTTATTTCATGCATTTATTGAAAGTTTTTAATATTATATTTATTTTCATTTGATATTCAATATGAAAGTATTATTATGCTTATATGAAGTTTAAATAAAGGCTCAATACCAATAATTCTGATAAATATATAAAAAAAATTAATTTAATTTATTATTTCAATTCTTTATATAATATTGCATTAAATAAAAATTTTTTCTTATTAGTGACAGAAATATTTTAATTAAAACATTATATTATACAATTTAATTACATATAAACCAAACCCACAGTAATAAACAAATGATAATAAATATATATTTATAGCCCGATTAATTAAAATATGGCAATATTGCTTATTTATTATTATATAATTTAAACTATTTATTGTGATTAATTTAATTTTATATAAAACTATGTAAAATAATAAATTTATTATAAATTACAAGAAAAAACCTTTAAACATTAATTACCTGAAATAAAATAATAAGGATGGGAAATATAGCTTACATGATACTGAACAAAGTTATGACATATATGATTTAAAAGAAAAGGTATTTCCTAAAAAGAAAAAAATCAATATTGAACATTAGTATAAACCATATCTTTTTAAAATTATATATGTTATAATATTTAATAGACAATTTAATTATAAAAATTAATTATGAAATAAAATGTTTATACCTCTAAAAAATTATACATAAAATTTAATGAAAACCAAGTTTGTATTTGTGAATTATACGTACATTATATTATGTAAAATTTGTATACATTCATTAATCCAAACAAACTATAGTATGGATTAATGTTCAGATTAATATGATTACAAATATAAAAAAAAGAGATCAAGAAAGATTATAGACAAGTATGAATGTATTTCAAAAAACATTTATAATTATTTTTGGCTGGAATATTTAGTAGTAGAATGAATAAAAGTGCTTCGAATTAACGAGAATTCTCTGTACATTTAATTTAGTTTTAATTTTGCCATTGCATACAACAAATGAATAAAACACATTTCTCATTAGAATTAATAGTAATAAATTCATCATCATCCTCATCTACACGTTTGTTAAGCTTTCAATTCATCAAGTTTTCTAATTATATTTTCATCAAGTGTATTTTGCTATTGCTTAATTGGGTTACTTTTCACAGGACACTTATGAATTTAATTATTATTAGAGGATTTCTTTATATATATATATAAAATTCATAAATGAATATATATATATTCATTTATGAATTTTCTGATTATATTATACATTGAATTTTAAAAGAATATATTTAAATTAAAACTAAACATGATTCAAAAAAGTTCATCTATCTTTTTTTTAAATAAACGTTAGCAAAGCCATATTAATATAACTCATTATATATACTTCATTAACTAGAAAATAATACCAATATTCAAATAATGATTTTAGCGTTTCTAAAAACAATAACGACTTTTATATTCAAATTTCGGTTTTTAATTAAATTACAAAAAAATGCCATTAACATATATTAAATCAATTACACACTGAAAAAAATTATTAAAAAATATTAATTAGAAAACAGAAGCAGTTTCAATGAAAAAACAGTCATTTAAAGTTAGGAGTTAGGCAGTAAATCAAGCATAGAATTCTTTGTAGAAAGTAGAGAACGTTGTTCAAATAGAGAAATAATTAATTCTGTTATCTTAAATATTACATTCCATTTAATCAATAACTAAGATAATTAAAATATATTAATATTGTATTTACTATACTTTAATCATCCATAATTTTTTTAACGATTGCAAAAAAATATTTAATATAATATTAAATTTCAGTTAATCTAATTAAAAATTACTTTATTTATCCAATTTTTACAGATGCAATATCATAATACTCCATTTAAATTACATTTAGCAAATTTAAATATGTTAAACATTAATATTTAAATAAATTATTCTAATTATTTGAATTTACTGATTAGAATGTTGTTTTTCTTTTCTTTCTTTTTTAAACGAAAAAAAATAAACAAATCCTTAATCATTATCACAACATTCTTTTAAAGGTTTACACGAAATTAAGCGGGAAATCCCAAAATATTTGTTTTAATATTTGTTAATCACAGATTTTCACAATTAAATAAAATTAATTAAACACGTCTTCGTAAATAATCTGTTTATTAAAATTAACGTTCCATTTTAGATAATTTCTAGGCCATTTAAAAGTTAAATTTTATGACAATTGTTAATGGAATTTGAAGTAAATTAAATACGAAAAAAAACATTATATTTTAAAAAATATTTTAATTATAAAAAAAGAAAGTATATAAATGAACGACAAGTGATGTAAAGAAGAAAAATAAACTGAAATGCATCCGGGTACCGTCATCCTTCGGCTCCCAATCGATAAGTTCGTTTTTTCCTAGACCAAATGTGTTATCAATCGATAGGTAACGTTTGTTGGCCCTTTCTACTCGTTCATTCCGCGTAAATTGTCCGGAATTCAATTTTTGATAAGAGGTGGATTTAATTAACACTTACAACGAGCGTTTTGTCGCACCCCCCCTTTTAAATCTGTTTATACCTAATTGTTAAAAACATTAGAGACTAAAATATTTGAAATTTTTGACACCAAACTGTTTCGAAATTAATGAATATCCGGTTGATTGAATAATAAATATTTTGTTGTCAATTGACATAAAGTTAATGTAAAAATTTTAATAATTAATACATTAAATGAAATTATTATAATTAGTACATTTAAAATATTTAAATAGTGAACATAATCTACGAGTAAAGAATAATTTCAATATGATATTTAATACATACATATGTGTAAAGCATGTATCAAGTTATAAATTTACATGAAAATATCTTTATTCTACATGAATTGTTAAATCAATAAAAGAATTTAACAACATTTATTGAACCAAATTTTAATGGAAAACGGATATTTTCTTATACTTAAAAAATTATAATGTATATTTTTCAACATTTTTTACCAATAATAACATTTTATTTTCGATTTTGATATATATTTTAAAACGTTTTTCCGAATAAAATCCGTTATTAAATTATCATCACAAATAATGTAAACAACAAACAAATAATGTAAAATACATAAAGGTAAAATTCGCAAAAATTATTAATATTTGATTGCAATAAAAACCTGACATATAATACTACAAATTATCACATCTGTGAAAGTTTACATACAATTATTGATATATTCTAACACTTTTTTCCCCTTAAATATCGCTTCTAGTTTAATTAACAAGTGTGAAAAAGATGGGGAATATGTAGCAATTAAATGAAACATTTCAGTTGAAATTTAATACGAAGGAGACTATATATTATTTAACCAAGCCTTATTATTTCTTTCCCTTAGTCTGAGCGATTTTGTAGACATACAAATATAATAAATCTTTCCAAAAATAGTTAAACTACAAGAAAATTGCAAAGTTAAAAAAGTATACTGTATATATTTTAGCTAATCTTTTATTTTTATTCTAACAATAAGCGCAATAAACATTATTTCAATATCGTAAAGAGTTTATTTTCTCAAGATTAAAATAAACATTAATAAATAAAACCTAATTTAAAATTACGTTATTGTTACGTAACAGAAACACATCGTAAATGTTTCACTTTTAACAATTTAATAATAATAAACCGTACAGAAAAAGTGATTAATTTTAAGTCTATAAATTATACAGGCCTATGTAGAAAAATTTCCATTTTACTATTTAATTTTAATTACTGGAAAATACATAAAAACTTAAAAAAAAATTAAGAAAATTTTTGCCAGGGAAAAAAAAATCTCATCACAAGGATAAAACTAAATTAAATTCCTCTTAAGTTTTTAAAATTATATATTTAATTGAATAATTGCATAGGGTAATTTAAATTAATAAAAAAAATTGTCATTTTTTTAAATTTAAATTGCTTCTTGTCTATTTTTTACTGACTAAAAAATTGGAAATTTTAATATAATGTATGTATTTTTTTTTATTAAGATCTTAAATTTATGTAGGAGAGAGGCTTAAAAGGCCTGAAATACATATTGGAGAATAAAAATAAAGAAAAATAGAATGCAATTTTGGGTAATTATTCTGTCTCTAGTTTAATAAGTGTGTATGACGTATGTTTTCGGAAAATCTAGGTTTTAATACTGTTAAAAAATTCTGTGTGTTAAAAATGAACTTTTTTAAAATCAATGTAACATTACCAATTGTTATCCATTGTGTATAATTTGAATTAAAAGAATATTTACGTAATAATAAATAGCATTATTACGTCATAGGTTTATTTAAAAACATGTAATCAAGAAATTAAAAAAAAAAAAAAAAAGTTGAGTCACGTGTATAAGTATACCATCTCAAACTCAATGTAACGAAATATATGTGGATAAACCACACAGATTTAACGTAGAATGTAGAATGTTTGGGGTTATTTTTAAAAAATTTGAGTTATTTTATTGAGAGTATTGAGGTAAAGCGAACATTTTCTTAAGCCTAACATGGAAACTAGCTAAGCCTGCATTTAGGCTTAACTCCCTAAGCCTAACGAGCGAATGGTTAGAGGAAGGGGGAAAATCGGGAATGAAGAGTGAAGATCGAGGTTTGGAGTGGGAACGTCTTCAAACAGCTGATTTTGTCCACAATATGAATAGGAAGAGGAATGGCCCATGCGTAGTGTATCGAAGCCTAAAGCAATACTGAGCAAGCCCTAACGCATTTGCGTCTGCGCCAAAAATGCCCTTTTCCGTTTGCAGAAGATCGTCGGTTGAGTGCCGGACGAAGACTCGGCGTTAGATCGATGCTACTTGCACGCTGGTTAGTGAATTTTAAGTTAATAACGGACGATTCGTTCATATTTTACCTATTAATTTAACACGAATTGATAAAATAACCCGTCCGTTTGACTCAAATCGGTCAAATCAATGCGGGAATCATCATGAAACGGCGTTTATTTAGTCGCCATTTTGCGTCTGCGCGGTAGCATTACAGCTGGATATTTCTAACTAACGAAAACGATATATAACATAGGAAACTGCCTGTTTTATCCGTCTCAACCTGTCTAATTATGTACTCGTAATATTAGTCGGATATTATTTTTTTATATACTTACCGAAATCGGTTAGAAATCCGTTGAAAATTGTCTTCAGTGCCATGCGCGATAGAAGACTAAAATGGAGATGTACTGAGCAAGCAGCCGAACATCGAGACGACGATCAGAATGGCGCGTGACGGAGGTGACGTCACGCCCTCTGCTGGCTGACGTCATCGATGGTTTGAATTCTTTCGCTGAAGGAAAAAAGATATTCGTGTAATTTGCGAAAACCGAAATAGTTTTTTTTTTGTTTACACTTCTCGTCGCTTTATCAATGTTTAACCTATAATTACATTTTGTTTAATGTATCCAACAGCCATTAGACTGAACTACGCAAATATTAAGTTTACAATGGATTATTTCATTGATCCCTGACATTTTTACGAAGGAAATGAAAATTAAAACGTCATTTAAATACAGCTGAAATGCTTTTTTCTCCTCCACAAATTTCAGTTTAAAATTGTAATGTTGTAAATAAATGAAGGAAAAATCATTTACACTTACATTATGAATTATTTAAGAAAATATACATATTTACAGTAAATACATAAACTAGAAACATGTGGACGTCTTTCTTGCTGAAAAGTTTAAATTAAATAAAATATCCTCAGTTTTATTTGTGATACAAAACACCAAAAAGTTTAAAAATAAGCACTTTCTCCTTATCTTAAAGAAGCTGTAAATAAAAAAGGAAAAAGTGCTTGTTTTAAACTTTTATGTCTTTTAAACTGTGAATTTTTAATTTAAATAAATAAATTTATAAAACATTAAATTAATCAGTTCATTTTTCTTTTGTGTAAAGAAAGACTACAGAATTAGAAAATGTGAAAGTCATTATTTTTAATTTCTTAATCATTTGCAGAACTTTCTAAGTCTATCATCGGAATAAAAATAAGCTTGAAATGTAAATTTTAGTAAATGACTTCCATGCTGGTCTGTACAACAAAGACCTACTTTTCTGAATCATTTTTGTTTTTTTTCCCCTAAGCAGATGTTTAATATATGCACTAGAATTTATATTACGTGGTTTGTTTATTGTTGTGAACATAAATTGATTGTCACTATCAGAATTGTTTATAAGTGTCTATATAAACAGTCATAGTTATTTTTTTTAGTTAGGAAAATAGATATTTTTTTCCAAAAAGTAGTGTTTTTGATATTTTTCAATGACATGTTTATTAATTTAAAATCAAACTTTTTAGCATGAATACATATGTATAAATTTTTATTTTTAAGTAAACGTTTAATAGAAATTTATTAAATATTTTACATCAATATAAAGATATATTGATGAAAATTATGTTATATCAGAGTAAAAATTTGAGATTTTCTGAACAATTCTGTTACTATGGTTTTCAATCAGAAGGTAGACATTTCTCAAAGTTAATTGTGATAAATGTTAATACTTCTGTTATATTGAAGAATGATTTCTATGGATGCATTATGTAATCTTGTTGAAGACTACAAAGATTTTAGTCTAGCGTTTCTTAGTGTAGCTTGATCCCATTCTAAAAACGTTAAAATAACAATTTTTATATAACATTAAAGTTTTAATTAAGCAAAAGTTCTAAAGATATATGTTGTTATGAAATTAGCATTATATTTACCACAGATATATAGTTTCAAAAACAGTATTTAATATGTAATGTAAATCTAAATGTAAAGAATACTTAATCTGAATTTAAAAAATAAAATCTACTACTGTATTTATAAAAAAATCATCAAAATTCAGTTATGTAAATTAATAATTTATTGGTATATTTAAATTACAATAAATATTGAATACTACAGTAAAGAAATGAACAGAGTTCATAAAGACCTTTCTTATATATTTTCCGTACAAAGAAAATATTATTTAGACTGCATATTATTTTACATTCAATTCAATGTACGAAAGTTAAATTTGTAACATCTGGTGTATTACAACATTCCTGGTTGTAAATATCTAATATTTTTTTAAATGTAATTAATAATCTTCATGGCTTTATTCAACAATTTTTAAATAAGGGATAGATATATATATTTTTTAATATCTATGAAGAATCTGTGAATACTGTTGCATTTTGATTTTTGATCAGCTGAACATTCTTTTCATTAATTGAGAAATGCCAATTTTTTCCTTAATTTTCAATTAATCTACATGATGAATAATTATTTTTCTTTAGGTTTTGCCTGTTAATTATTAAATGTATTATTTTTTAAGGAAGTGTGTTTCTTTCCTTAGTTTAAATTTAATACTTATTACTCATTATTAAATATATTTACAGCAAAACAATTATATATATATATTTTTTTTAAAATCTATTATTACATTGTTTAAATTAATAATTTTATATATATTTAAGTATTGACACAAGCAGTAATTTGATATGATTCAACTTAAGTTAAAATCTTTAATATCCAGTGTAAAGTTTACACAAGAATAAATGCTTTTGGCTAAATTAATTAGCCATCATCAGGTTCCAATATTATAATTTCTTCCTGTATTTTGATTAGAATTTGATGATGGCTAATTAAGTTAGCCAAAAATGTCTGTTTTGTATAATTTTTACACTGGATATTAAAGATTTAGTTTGTGTTATTTGAGAATTTATCATTAAAAGATTATTTTATGTTTACTTTTATTTATTTGTTAAGCATATTGCAACATATTTTTGTTCCTACAGGTGTTTTAAACAACAATTCCTACTAAAATCTAAGAAACAAACATTTATGAATTTAAGAACACATGCTTATGAAATAAACTGAAAACATTTATGTTTTTAATAAATTTTGTAGATAGGAATACATGGATGGTGATGAGATTTTTTTTATGGTATTCATGGTTCCAGTTTTGTTCATTTGTATTTATGCTTAAATCTAGCATTTGACTCTGATCTATTGAACAAAAAAAAAACAGTACCATAAATTCTACCATCAATATAAGTTCATTCTAGGTAACAACATATACATACAGCCCAATACACTTTATTAATCAAATGAACAACCAGATTCTTACCATCTACCTCTAACCAAATTGCTTAATACAGTATCTTATTAAGTAATTAGCCTTAATAGAGCCTGATAAGAATCTGAATGAATCTGGCTATTTGATTCATTCTAGTTAGTTTATTATTAAATTGTTGACATAGTTCATAGAATAATTGTTTTGCATATAAAAAGTTATTTTATATTGATAATTATTCTTTCTTTTAAAATTTGTAGAAACTTAATTTATGAAAATTTAAATTCAGTATCCCAAATCAAGCAAAACAAACAGCTATTATATTTCTATATTTTTAAAATTCAACTTACAGAATAATTTGCATGATTATTATATTTTCAGACAGAAGTTAAATATTTTGATTTTATATTTAAAATTTTTTGCAAATTTTATTACTATTAAAATAAATTTAAAATAATAATCTGGGTTCATTATTCATTAATAAGGTATAAGGTTTTTGAGGACTTATTAGCTCATCTTCAAGAGCCAAAACAAATAGTAAATGCAAGAATTATAGAATCACAAGGTGTTTTGTTTAAGAATTTAAACTTTGAATCTTTAATAGAAAAGATATCTGTATTTTTAAAATAATTTTATTTAAAATTAAAATCATTGATTCATATTTATAAATCAGCAGTAAAAATTATAGTAAGTTTTAATATATATATATATATATGGGTTAATAATAAGAGAAAGGGATATGGATAATCAAAAATATAAATAATAAAAAACAAATGTTAAGGAAATTCATGTTCAAAAGGAAGCTGTTGTTGCAGAAGCGATGCTGTAATTAATATAAAGTTTTATATTCACTATTCACTTCTAATTGATTATTTTTAAAATATAGTACTATATATTATTCTGTTGTTTTTCATTATATATATGAGTTTATTAAAAAATAAATAATATAAAATGTTATTTTAATTGCCCAATCAAATGTAAAATATTATCTTTTATTATTTATTTTCTCAATAATCAAAAATGATATATGGATAAAGTGATTTAAAAAAAGACTTGGTAAAATGAATTTTTTTTTTATTTGCTGATAAAATTGAGAAAATTATTTTTAATGTGATATTTGGTGTCTATATAACTCATTATATATTAGATTATATTGTATAATGTTTAAAACAATTTCATTCATTGTTCAGGAATAAACTTTGTATTTTTTGTAAATATAGAAATGTGAACTCTTAACAATAATTATATTTATTTTTAGAAGAATTCTAAATTGGCCAAAATGCATCTTCATCACTTGGGATATTAATATAGAAAATTTGTGTTAGACTATACCCTGAACTTATGCGATAGGTGGGACTGAGCAATAACCGCATAAGTCGAATTCGCGTAAGTCGAGGTATAATTTCACAATTTGTGTAAAATCCAAGTCGATGTATGTAAGCTAATAAATGTTCTTGTTAATCGTATCTCGTCTTTTGATTCGTTCACGGTTACAAGAAATCACCACATAGAGTCTCTCAAATCTCTGTAGATATAACAAGGTTTGCGTAAGTCATGGTAACGTAAGTCATGGTATTACTGTATAGATATATTCTCTAACTGTAGATGTTGTATTTCAGACATATTGTTCATGGCGTAAAATTTATCACTATCTTTATATTGTAAATCCAAATAACATAACTTGTTAACTTGTTTTGTGAATAACATAACTCATATTTTGTATGTTAAAAAGAAAAGAAAATTTGAAAAGAAAAGCATATCGCATAAAAAGAAAAGTGTTTGTTTTTATTTTATTGATCTGTATTAGAAGCAAATATCTAGACTATTTTTTGAAATTGGTTCATCAGTGACCAAGTGGATAAAACCACTGATGACAGATTCACAGATCATCAGTAGACTGCCATGTGGAGTTTTCTGGATTTTCTTCAATTTTCTAATATTTGAATACGAGCCAGTTTCCCATAGAATGTACTCCTGGGAGGCATTCCTCCTTGGCAGATTGCCCATGAGTTGCATTGCCTTATCAAATCAAGCCTACAATTTTATAAAATTAGGTGACCAGATTTGTTATGATAGCACTCTGATTCATCTGTGAATTTTAGAGTATATTAATTATTATTATTACATATTTTTTAACTTAGCATATTTTACAGCATATAAGGCATAAGTTTTGTTTAAAAAAAAAAGGCTCAAAAAGTCACCATACATTTTATATGTGAAGTAGCAACCTCTTTAAGTTAATGAATTCCCCAGACTTTAATAGGTAACCTTTACCTAACCCAATGCTTGAATAAATATTGTTATTATTTAAATCAACCATAATTATTATTATTTGTTTTTTGTTATTGCTAAGCTGCTTTTGCTTGTATTCATGTAAATGACTTCTTTTAAATTTCTGTTTTTCCCTGATGAATAAAAGTATGCATTCTAATTTTAATTTTTTTAAACCTGAACACAGTTGAAAAAAAATTAGTGCCAAGTGCCAAAGGTTGGCAGGATTGTCTAAATACATTTCTTTTTTCCTAAATGTTTTGTGCTGAAATGGATGTGCATCTTATATACCCATGCCTCTTACATGCTGTAAAATATGGTATTTTCTAATAATCTGTATTGATTTTCTGATACATTATGATGCTATATTTACTTTTATTTTATCTTGTATGACAAATAAATTAATGTGAATATAAAACTTACAATTGAGTGCCAAAACAAATGCATTATATGTGTAGCAGTTAGATTTATTTGCAACACTGTTCAATTTAAAATGAAGAATGATCTAATAAATTTCAGAAAAAACTTATCAATAATTTATCAAGTTATTAAATTCACTATATGAATGATTTACAAAATCTAAAATATTATATGGATTTATAAATCATATGGATCATATTACATAATGTCTGGATTTTACAAATTATTGTGCTTAATTGGTGATAATTATAGTAATAAAAAATATATTAAGTGACTTATTCAAAGAAAAATTTAATAGTTTTAATAAATAACTATAAAATATAAGTTTTTTTATTTAAAAAAATTTAAATGTTTATCAGTAATTCATTTTATATCATTGTACCATATTTGCATTTGATTTCAATCATTTATTTAAATTAAGATAAATAATACATAAGTAGAAGATCAATTTTACTTTCAAATAGGATGACAACGTTTTTTTTTTAATAAATCAAACAAAACAGGTAATTATTTTAATGTTTTTACTAAAATTGAAGTTGACTAAACAGAGGAGGAAAATTTTTAAACACCCACTCTTAATGATGATTAATTAATAGATTCCATGTTAAGTTTAAATTTTGAATGTAATTATTATGTAAATAAAAGAATATTTAAATGAATTTATTTTTCTGATAGAAATTATCATTTTGAAATTTAAAAAAATATCTTTATTTGTCTACATCAGTGTTTCTCAACCTCTAATGAATCGTCATTCCCTTCAACGTAGTATCGCCCCCCTTCAATAAAACCGTTACCTATTATCGTCCCCTTCACTTCAAAATTCCAATGCTGAGGACCAAGACTAATGCCAAATTCATACTGCATTGAATAGACTAGTGACTAGTATAATCTTATCATAAAATAATAATAATCAAACAGTAATGATATCAATTTATTCAAATTCATAATTAAGACTAGTATAATGTTATTTGTTTAATTATTGTACGATTTAACAAATAAAATATCTAATTATTCTTAATATAATGTTTTACTATATTGCCCAGAAAATAGTTTTTCGCCCCCAAAATATAAATTGTTACTAATCGCTCCCTCAACAAGAAAAAACAACCACATGGGGTGATATCGCCCCCGGCTGAGAAACACTGATCTACATAATGCAAAGCAGTTGATATGCTACATTAGTATATAATGGGCTAAAACAATTAGCCTATTTAATTTCTTCTTTAGCTTATGAAATTCATATAATCATTAGCAAATTCAGATAAATGAGTCTATGTACTTTTTGTTCTGCTATTCCTTTACTCAGTCAGATTTATTCTGATTTTAATTATTGTATTCTGTTACTTTATATAAGGATAAAATAATTTCTCTTTTCCAAATATTCAAGTTAATATTTTACCATTATGTTGAATGCATTACATCAAATGCAAACATAACCATACATATTGCATTTTAATCATGTTATCACAAGGCTTAAAACTTATCAATATCTTCATAATTCCTGTTATTCATAAATACCCTGATTTATTTTTTTTCTATAAATGTGTTTTATAAAAAGAAAGGTGTTTGTTTTATTTATTGATCTGTATTAGAAGCAGAGATCTAGTTTCTTTTTTTGAAATTAGTTGATAAATTTTCTGTGACAATATTCTGTGATTCATTAGTGAAGTATAGAGTATATCAATTGTTTCTGTATAAAAGATCTATTTTCAGGCTATTTGGATTCCATATAACATACAAGAAATCAGTGTTTAAACTAAATATTCTGATTATATCACATTCCTGTTGCATTATTATACAGTAACTAAATAGAAGCATTCTTAAATGGCAAAAATTGTTTTTTTTATATATAAGTAAATTTATAAAACCAAACTTTTCTGAAAAATAATAACCATCTAATAAAGACATTCAGATTTTGTAAAAATTTCCAGAATTTTTTGAGTTTATATCATAATTAAGATATTTTATTATTAAAATCAAAATTTTATGTATTCAATAATTGTAAGTAGTACTTGTAAGAAGTACTTGTAATAGTAAGTAATACTTGTAAGTAGTCATTTATGATTCAGAACAAGCAAAGCATGAAGACACTGTCTGCAATGTTTTCAGTTTGATGGTAGTTAATTACAAATAAATGAAAGTAAAGTGTATGAAGTATGTTCTAAAAAATAACTGCACTTGAAAGTTTATATTTATGCTCTTTGTTGATCATCTTTTTATTAGCCATGACTAGAGTCAGGAAAATTATGTAGAACACTTTTTCTGAGGATGGTTTTAGGCTGCTTATGATAGCAGTAAATATAGTAACTAGAAATAATATGTTTTAATTAATATTTATAAATCTGCAAACCAATGGAATTTTCTCTTCTTGATTGTTCTGCAGATGCATGGAATTTCAAGTTTTGCTACAGCTTAAAGCAAGAGAACATCTGGTTTTTACCACAGAACTTATGTTTCATCCTCAATTTAAATATGCACTTGTGTTGAAATCTTGATTCTATGCTGCTGCCACAAAATGCTATAGTAAATGGCTACTCCACATATAAAAAGGATGCTCTGAGAAAGCCATTTTGATGTTAACATGACAGCTAAAGATCATATAAAAGAATTCCAAGTTGAAGGAATGTATGAAAGTGGAAACCTCATGAAAGCATTGATTACCTTAGAAAACAATAAAAGATCATTGTCTATCTCAAACCCATATGAAATAAGTCTGTTTCATTGGAAATGGAAGGGTTTAATGTTTTCAGTGGAATTTTTGCAATTATTGATAACTAGCCTGCTGATTTTATCAAATTTTTCCACACATTACACTTGCCTCTGGCCATGACTTACTGTGATTAGTTTACTTTGTAGGTCTATGTAATGTTGATAATGCACATCAATTTTTTCAAATGTTGAGAAATTCAGAGTCATATTCTAATATGATTTGCTTTCATCCATAATCTTCACTCTAAAATTTATATCATCTCCAGATAAATAAATTAGCCGTAAAAAGAATAGTATGAAATTCATCACATAATATTTCATGTACCAATACCGAAAATGCAGTTGTGAACATAAATTCAAACATGTGTTTTTTGATACTGTACAATACATGAAGAAAATTATCTTGAGATTACATTGTATGGAATAATACTATTTATGGAAACTATTTATGGAATAATACTATTTATGGAATGGTAAGTTCATCTTCAGATGTGTCAGATAAGAATTTACTCATTTTGAGATAAATGTGTGGAATTAATTTTCAGTTAAATCATTTTTTGTTATTAATATTGTTATCAAATTATAATTTTGATCTATAAAAATTGATTTAATTATTTTATAAGATAATGATTTTTTTAAAATATGTGTGTTCAATTTACCCATTACTTATAAACTTTAAAAAATACAGATATCCAAGAAAACTGAATTAATCAACAAACTAAACGAGTAATGCAAACAATTGCTAATCAGTTTGGTTTATTTATTTATTTTTTTTATTCATTCATTATTGTTTAATTCAGAGAGTCATGAATAATTCAAATCTGTTAATTTATAATCTAAATTCAAATTTTGATTGCATAGTATTGTTGAGAAAGATCAACATTATATTTATTTTGAACTTTAACATTTTTAGTTGCAGAATTTTTTAATGTTTTAAATTTCATGTTTTTGAATTTGTTTTAAACCCAATAATAACATTCAACAGACTTGTTCTTTTGAGGAAGATCAGAAGATAGTTGTTATAATTTATTTTTATAATAATAATAATAATAATTTCAGCATGCATGAAAAAAATTATAATCAATACCTAGGCATAAATCAATGAGTCATTTGATAGTTTAAACTACATTAATATCATTACTTTGAAGTTATATGAATCGAATAAATCAATATATTTTTTTTTCAAATTTATAAAACTTTAAAAATTCTTTTGAAGACTCCTTATATCTTAGCCCATATTTCATTTAATTTCTATTATAAATTATTTTTAGAAATAAATTTAAATTTTGATAGTTTTTAAATGGAATTTAAGTAGCATTTCTTGCATTTTGTACAATTTTATTCTAATAATAATTATGTTTTTAGATAAAAATGTCCTCAATACCATTTGTGATATTCAGAAGAGGATTGACGACAAGAGCAACACACAAAACTGAAAAGAAGCGTAGAATTTTGTACGATCGCATTTTACGTGTTGATCATGCCGGTGAACTTGGAGCTGACCGAATTTATGCTGGACAAATGGCAGTTTTAGGAAAAACAAATGTTGGACCAGTTATTCAAGAGATGTGGGATCAAGAAAAGAATCACTTAAGGACATTTGAACAACTCTTGCCAAAGTATCGTGCAAGACCTACTGCTCTTCTACCATTTTGGAATGTAGCAGGATTTTTACTTGGTGCAGGTAGATACCAATACTATATTTTAATCAATAAAATATAAAAATTAAACAAACATAAACATCATGAAAATATTCTGAAAAAGGGATAAATTCTATTCCAGATATATGTTATTCAAATATTATGTATTATGTGTTTATGTATACTAAGTTACTTATATATGATATATACAGTAGCAAATTATATAACTAGGAGCATTTATATTTAAGAGATAACAAAATATGAAAACTGTTTCCTGCCTTTTCATTATATTTAATTAAGGTGCTCAATATATAGTTATATTTTTGATTTCAAATAAAATTTGAGAATTCAAATAAATAATGAGAGAAATTATTTATCATTAAAAATACAATTCCAAAATTATCAGAGCAAAATCAGAAATATGCAAAATAATAGATAGGCCTAATTGTTATTTGATGCATTCTAAGATTTATAAGGGAATATTTTCTAAAACTTAGATTCGGAATTGAATCAGTTTCAAATTCTGTCATGCCTGGCTCAATCCAAAAACAGAGTAGTCTTTTTTTGGATTGAGTCAGACATGATAGCTTTGGAATTAACTGTGGTACTTGTAATGTATTCATGAAATACTTGTCATGAATATTTCAACACTTTAAAACATGTGATAATTTTTAAAATTACATCATCATCCAAAAATGAATAAACTTAACTGTGTATTTTAAATAAATTGCTTTGAAATTAATATTGTGTTGAGAAAACTAGAAGAAATGATCTCTCATATTCTGAAACTAAAGTAATATTACATCATTTCCTGTCTATATATATTGCTATCTAAAAAAAAACATCTAAAAACAATATTTATTTTTAAATTCTTAAACATTACCTGCCCTCTGCCAACCACAAGTAATATGAGAGAGTAAAAGGTTTTTCTCTGACTTATCGTTACAGTTGGCACTGAACTTACTAGACAACCAAAAATAGCCCAGTTCAATCACTTTTTTATTTAATGTTATTGCCTGCTAATCTGAAAACTTGCCAGAAAATTTGCATTTGCTCTACAAAATTTCACACTTATTTCTCTTTTCTATCTTTTTTATATCACTAACAAAGTATTGCATTATTATTCATTTGAAAACAAATATGAAAATATACATTTATTATGATAATTTATTATAATTAAAAAACTTACATTAAATTGAAGCAATGCAAGTCTGGAATTTTTGCATCTCCAGAACTCTCGTGGATGATTACAGAAAGATATTTGAAGACACTAGCGTGTCTCCTTATGCATCTCAGCCACAATCTTAATTACGTCTAGTCTAAACAATACATTTAGATCCCAAAAATGTGTAGTGAACAATAATAAAGTACTAGAGATGTTGACTAGCTTGCTTAAATAATCTCGGCCCAAACAAAATTACTTAAATGGTGTAACAATCAGCATGGATTATTTATTTGGGAGAACCTTTACATTGCAGCCTTAACACCATGCAACACTACTACTATTGAAATTCCACAAATAAATTTTACATCATCCCATGTGCTAGCTAATCTTCATATTTAGACAAACAGTTGACCATTTGTTAACTTTGGTATACAAAAGTTTGTATTTTGTTAAAATATTATGTTACTGGAAGGACTTAGGTTTTTACAGTGTATTTTGTTGTACAAAAGCTCTAAGTAAAGACATGACTAAATTACAGAGTAGCACTAAACTTTGTTTCTCTAATTAGTCATCATAGTTCTATATGAAAAGATATTTTTTCCATTTTAAAACTTTTTTCAGACACCATTTCTAATTTTTGTTTCAAATGTACATATACTGTACAACATCACTCTTTTATCTCTATAAGTCTTTTTATTATAAGTCTTTTAGAACTTAATCAGTGTGTCAATAAATATCTGTGAATAAATTTTAAAACTCAAATTTTATTATAAAATATTTATATATTGATAATCTAAGTTTTTGGAGTGAATTATGAATTTAGATATATATCCTATAGTTAATTAATAATTGAGCTACTTAACAGTAATTTTCCTGGAATGAATTAAAATTATTAACTCAAAAACTACTACAATCAGTCCCTGACATATGTAAATTTTTGCTGGCCAGTGCAAACTTTAAAAAAACTTGTAAAACAATACTAACTAAATACTAACAAAACAATACTAGAACTGCCAATTTATATTATGTAACTCATAAAATTTCAAAGGATTACTTTTAAAACTTTATATGATTTTTAATAAGCTTATGGGTCAAAAATGACCCTCTGGCAGTTCTAAGGTTAAAACAAAAAAAGCCACGCCTCAGGCTTTGATCAACATCTGTCAATGAAGTATGTTATCTATCTTAAAATTTTTCTATTTGTATTTNAAGAATCAGACTTTCACTATTTTTTTAGGTGACACGAAGATCATCTAAAGGAGTGGTGAGTCTAACAAAACTCAGTGTGTCGTCGACCATGTGTCATATGAACGTGTTCGTTAATTTCATACTAATGTAAATAAAATTTCCTTTAAAATGATATATAATATTTAATAGTTAATTCAATTTTTTGAACTAAGTCCAGATTTTTTTATCTCACTCTTATTCTGCTTTAAGTTCGAAAATTATAGGACATTGAAACCCAACAATACTTTAGAATCATTGGTAAATAAAAGTAATAATATAAAAATATGATAAAATATGTAATAATAAAAATAAATAATTTTATATTGTCAGCATAATTTTAGTTCAGTCAGTTTTATTATTTACTTATGAATATGAGAAAAATTCTCTATTATTTTTCTTTTTTAAATCAAAATTTGATTTCTCAATTACTCTCAATAGATGAGAATTTTCTTCTCAAATTACAGACATAAAAAATTAACAATTGAATAAACTTATGGTATATAAGATTCAACAAACTGTAGAAATTAACATTTTGTCATTATAAAAATTATATAGCAAGTCTGACAGACTAGACATGCTTTAACAACATATTTGAATCAAGGTTAGCAAGAGACAAGGGATAGAATAGTACAGTTTCTTTTATGTAAATCTTATATACCGGTATATATTTATCATATGAATGTTTATAAGTGTATCTTAGTTGTCATCAGTCTAATTCAACTGATGATCATACAGTCAATAAATATGTTGGATCTTATAACATCTAACAATATTTTATTTTTCAAAAAAGCAAATTAAAAAACCTAGATATCAATATTTTTAAAAAAATTAAATTTTTGAATTGTTTGATAGTTGTTTTATATGAGCTGCACTTTGGACACTTGATATATAAGGTTATTATAAATCATTGTAGCAATAAGATACATTTCATACCTCCCATATTTCAACTACTGTATTGCTGTTGTGGATGGAAATGTGTTTCCCATAATTTTAGTTTCAGTGCTGGGAATGAGAAAAAATTACAGAATGCCAGATCTGGACTGTACATTGGGTATGGGATGCATAAGATGTTTTTATTGGCCAAAACTCAGTTGTTATGTTATCAGCATGCAGACATACATTGTCATGGTATAGCTACCAATCATTGGCATCAAGATTGAGATGTTTCCTGTAGATGTGAGCCAACAATGTATGACAGAAGAACTGTGACAAGTATTTCTGTCTAGAGACTATTGTATATGGTGGTACAGTACATGTTGGTACACTACTCACTTAAAGAACAAGATAACTACTGTATATCAGCATTAAATAATTTTTATTACTTGTCATTATTGCAAGCACTTTCAACATTTTATAAATGTCATCTTCAGGTAAAGAAGAAAATGTAATTTAGGAACATAAGAATAAAGTAACTAATTAGTAAGTGAAACTTTAGAATAAGTAATAAAAATCATTTAATTAATGCTGATAGACAGTGGTTATCTTATTCTTTAAGTGAATAATATTTTGTCATGATGAACCTAGTCATTATTTTTATGATACACTACTCCTTGGCAATCAAATCATTACCACACAAATCCTGTTTATTCTCAGAATCAAAGCAATATAGCTAGGTTTCATCATCAGTGATTGCTGATTATAGAAGTGTTATCCAGATCAACCACTAGATATTGCAACTCTTGGCAGACTTCCATCTGAACGTGCTTTTGCTCAGGCATCAGAAGCTGGAGAACCCATCAAGAACAAATGCACTTCATATGCAGACAGTTGTGCAAAACATTCCCATCCAGGAGATGTTCAACATATCAGCAAATTCATCAATTGTAGTTTGATTCTTCTCAAATGATGGCACTAACAGTGTTAGAGTTCTTCAGTCAACATACTTCACAGGAGTCTGTAGATCTCTGCTTAGAGTTTGTTTCCCAGCTTTCAAAAAATGCCTTGAACCATCAAAATACTGTGAATTGAAAAAAGCTTCTTCACTTTACACTGTTTCAACATTTCATAAATGTTATAGCTGTTTTCTGCAAGTAAAAACAAATTTTTAAAAGTATTGTACACTATTGCTCAAGATCAATCTTCATTTTGTTGTAGATGGGAAATAGGCAGAATTTGTTCTGTGCACTCTATTAGCTATAGGAAGAATCCTATTTCTTTGCAATTTTTTGGACAGATGCATTGATAATCATTGTTTACATTAATATGGATCTGAAATTTATTAGTACAGTACATTTGTCAAGAAAAATTCAATCTTAATTTGTTTTCACTCACACTCACATCTAAAGTATAATGTTTTTCATACAATCAATCAAAGAAACTAGAGTTTATATTTTGGATATTATTTATATTAACAGATGATTATGTTATACAAATATTTATAGTTTATAAATTTGATTAATCAACAAATGTTTTTAAGCATGAGTGAAATGTTTGTTAATTAAATATTGTATAGACTTGCATAAAATTGTTTATTATATTATGTCAGACTTGTTATTATTTAAATATATCAATAAAAATGAAGATCTACACACTTAATCAATTGAAATGTATTCATAATAAATTTTTAGTACACATGTTGCATAGTACATAGTTGCAAGTAGGTATGTGAAGAAGTATAATGGGACAGTTGTATTTAAGAAAAATAAGTTTGAT